CTGTTACATTAATAGCGTCCACCCCTCCTTTTTACTAAAATTATATATATATAATCCCTATATATATATAAAAATTTACCTAATACTATATAGATATTTATAATATAGTAATTAACCTATTTTAATAACTTTAATTAATCTATTCCTATTAAATCTTATTATCTAAGGGTATTATAATACCTCCTAAATACTACTATATAGCTTAATAAGTAGATAATAACCTATTTAGGTATTATCTATTACTTATTATTAATAGTATATAGAAATAATAATATATATAATAATTAGTATAGGATATTATTAGAGATCCTCTTTAATACTCTACTTTATTATTAATTAGGATTATTATACCTACTAAGAAGGCTTATTAAGTTACTACTATTAAGGAAGTTACTAAAGAGGCTACTATTAAGGTTATTATTACTAAGGCTAAACTTAAAATTAATAATTTAGTAGCTTTTAAGTTTATATTATAAAGAAGGTATATATTTATAATACTTCTATTATTATAAAGAGTTTTAAAAGTATTTTCTTATTAAAAAGTAATAATAATATAGAGGAAGTAAAAAAAGGATTTACTATATATAATCTAATTTTAAAATACTTTACTTTTATTAATACTATCTTTTTAACTAAACTTAACCTTAATTAACTTAACCTTTTATTAAACTACTTAATTTATAGATAATATATTTATAGTTTCTTACTATAATATTAATAATATATTTATATTATTCTATAATATATTTAAAGAAGAGGATAATATAGGTAATAAGGAACTAACTTTATTATAAATCTAAGTTATTTATAGCTTAATACTTAAGGGTAATAGTTTATTTATTCTTAATTTAACTATTAAGAGTATTATATATAATAGATTTAGTATTACTAATATATTAGATATAAATAGTAAAAACTAAGAGGTAAATAGTAATACTTAATTTAAAATAGAAGTAGCTTACTTATATATTCTAAGAAAAGCTAATATTATTATTATTATTATTTAGAAGAAGCTTATTAATATATCTAAATTAATATTAATTTTTATTTAAGTTTATCTATTTATTAGAGGGGTTATTTAGCTAAGTATTCTATAGATTAATATTATTCTCTCTCTTAAATAAATTAAAGAGAGGGGTAAAGTCTACTTTACTATTAAGTAATAATATAGTATTATATTAATCTCTAGTAATATAATAACTAGTATATAAATACTTTAAAAAGGTAACTAAGTAAGTATTTTAGCTAGTATATAAGAAGTAATTAATTATAAGCTTAATAATTCTATAAATATTAAGTATTAGAAAGAGGGTATATATAGATAACTTCTCTATATATATATTTACTTAAAGTACTAAAAATATAAGAATAGTTTAAGTAATAAGAAATTTAACTAATATTATATATTAAACTAAAAGTACTATAAGATTAAATCTCACTATATAGAGAAGTAAGTAAAAGTTCTTATAACTAAATAGACTAATATTATTAATATAGAACTACTTAAAGAACTACTTAATAAGATTCTTTATAATTAGTTTATAGAGAATTAGAAATATTAAAGTAATAGAAATAAGAATATTATTAAAGTTAATAATAATTAAGAGATAATAGTAATAATAGAAGAGAAAGCTAAAAATACTATACTTCTATTATTAAAGTTAAGATCTAGCCTAACTAATACTAATAGTAATACTATTATTAATATATATAGTAATATAGGGGTATTAAATTATTATTTTTAATATCCTAACTTATATATATAGCTACTACTACTAGTATTAATATTAATAGTATATTAGCTATATATAAATATCTTATAGTATTTATTACTAACTCTTTTACTATTAAANTCTTATAGTATTTATTACTAACTCTTCTACTATTAAACCTTTTAAGTATTTATTAACTAAATATTATACTCCTAATTTATTTATCCTTATTAATAGTATTAAATTTACTCTAAAAAGCTTTAGATTAAATAGCTAGCTTTATTAAATAGTTTATATCTATTTATAATAAGTAATATAATATTAATAAAGAGTTTAAAAAAAAGCTATAGAAA